TCAGGATTACTGGAGACAGTCTTGGATGCAGTGGGAGGCCTTGGCCTTTTTAAGCGAAAGCCTTTCCCAGGCCTCAGTTTGTCTGAGGCAATGCCCATCCAGTGTTTAAGGATAGGGAAAAAAATGAGGCAAAGAATGGCTTCTTTTACCTAGTAAAAAAAAAATCAAACAATTGCTATTTACACTCACCCTGAGCCATCAGAATCCAAACAATGACCAAGTAACGCTTATCCCAAAGGAAAGGTTAGTCAATAGTATCAAATATGGCAAAGAGGTAGAAGTGGACAGAACAAAGACCATGACATAAGGTGACCACTGGTGAACTTTGAGAGAACAAGCTTAGCAGAATTGTGGAGATTTCAGCCTGGTCACATGGGGTTGAGGAAAGAGTAGGTAGCATGGAAGTGTAGGTGTTAGATGGAAATGACTTTTGCAAGAAGCTTATGTAGAGGTAGGAGGTTATGGTTCAAGAGTACTACATATAATGATGGACTTGATTGATGTATTTGTAATATTGCTAAATTGGCTTTTCTCTTTTTTTTATTCTTTGTCATGAGGAGTGGCTCTCTGGGCAAGGGAATGGAGAGGGATATATTGGGAAGTATAAGCGATACGAAAACAAAAGATAAAATTTTTCAAAAATTTAAAAGACGCTGATAAGTTGAAAGGAAGGAGGAACAAAGGATGTTAACAATGGGGCAAAGAGACCCAGGCATATTTGTAGACAGATGGAAGGAGGAGAGACCAAAGATACATGAGAGAGAAATGATGAAATCATAGACATAATGTTAATATTCTGAAAAAACTAGAAGATAATGATTGCTGAGCCACTTCAAAAGGCCATGGAGTAAGGAGTAAAAACAAGAAGGATGTGGTTATGAAGAAGGAAGGTTACCAGAGTCAGGAGGAAGAAGGGACTTTCTATGATGTTGGGCAAGTCCCAAATGCACACAAATAATTTTTGAGTTGTAAAGAACTTAGCAATCAGAATAGACGGTAAATATATTAACAACAACAACAATAATGTAATACTTCACATGGAGAGGAAGGGCAGGAAAGAATAAGCATTTATAGAGCACTTTGTGCCAGGCACTATACTAAGCACTTTACAAATATGATCTCAGTTGATCCTAACAACAACCCTGAGAGCTAGGTGTTGTTATTCCCATTTTACAGTTGAGGAAACTGAGGCAAACATAGGTTAAGTGACTTGTCCAGGGTACACAGCTAGTATCTGAGGTTGAATTTGAACTCAGCTCTTTCTGACTCTAGGCCCAGTAGTTTATCTACTGCAGCACCTAGTTTTCTCCTCATAGTTTACAAAGTACCTTCATCTGATCTTCACAAAAACCATACTAAATGGACAAGATGGGCATTGCTATCTATGTTTTGGAAATAGTGTAACAGGCTTTTAGAGATTAAGAGCTCAAAGTTTCATCTCTAGTGAAAACATGTGAACAGGAGCTCAAATCTAGGTCAGTTGTTCCTGCTATTATGCCAGTCTTTCAGGTGCAGGGTTAGGAAATCATATATCCAACTGCATATTAGTTCTGGTATAAGACAATAAAGACATGTCACTTCTTTGAACCTAAAATTCCCTAGCTGCAAAACACTGTATAAAGGAGAGCAGAGGAGAAATGTTCAAGGACTGGAGATGGCTGAATGTTTTTCCATTTTTCAAAAAAGAGAAGAGAGTGGAGTTAAACTCAAGGCTGGTGAATTTCACTTCAATTCCTGGCAAAGTTGCAGGATTTCATATCAAATGAGATGATTTATAGACATATAGAAAGGGAATTAATTAGTGATTGTTAAGAACTAATAGGGTTTTATCAAGAACAAGTCATACCATATTCACTTCATTTCTTTTTGGCAATGTTCCTAAATTGGTAGATCAAGGGATGTTTTAGATATAGCTTACTTGGATTCCAACAAGATACAGATGATATTCTTATCTAATTTTGTAAATAATGCAAAGTTGGGAAATATAATTAATAAACTGTACATCAAAGTCAGAGTCTGAAAAGATCATGATGAGATGAATCTAGTAAGATGGAAATTCAACACAGATAGTGCTATATGTGGTTTCAAAAAGTCAGCTTCACAAGTACAAGATAAGGAAACCACGCATAGACCAAAATTCACAGGAAAAAGTATTAGCGAATTGCAAACTAAATAAGAGTCATTCAGTGTAACATGGCAGCCAAAAAAGCTAATGCCATCCTAGGCTTCGTTAAGAATGGCACTGTGTTCAGAAAGAAGGTAAAATGGACAGTCTCAGAAAGGTACTAGGTTCCTCCACTGATGGAAGCTTTCAAGTATAACAAGTGATGGTCAATGAGGACCCAGTTCTGGGAGCATGAAGCTGAAGGTAAGAGGCTGCTAAGTTTGAGGAGAACGTGTAAAAATGATTTCCTCCTTCCTGGTGGTGACTGAGGGAACAAAATACTGTACACTTCTGAGTGAGGAGGCCCTAGGACCCTATCTCTCCACTTTTTATCACTTGACACACAGATTGTGTATTCAACTATACTGATTTCTGGTTCCCTTCACCTGTCTTGTTTATTTCCTTCATTTAGTATCAACTTCATCAGCACAGTCTGGAAAGATCACAAATACAACAGCTGAGAACTACTTTCTCCCTGACACTTGAATAGTAGGAGGAAGAAAGTGCTTACTAAGCATTGACAGGAGTGGGTTGTTGCCAAGAGACAGTCACCATCCACAAAGACCCTTCAGTCACAAATGTCTGGAAGGCTCTGGGCAAGTCAGTTAACCCTGTTTGCCTCAGTTTCCTTTAACTGTAAAATGATCTGGAGAAGAAACTGGCAAATCATTCCAGTATCTTTGCCAAAAAAAATCCCAAATTGGGTCATGGAGAGGCATGACCAAAAACAACCGAACAACAAAAGTCCCTACCCCCTTCCCTCTAATCTTTAAAGAGACTGGACTGGAAGCAACAGAGAATATCTTCAGATGATCAAAGTGGGAAAGAGGAGAAAGGTCCTCTATGTTTAATGAAGAGCTGGAGTTGGAGGAGAGGGGCTGCGTATGTATACCTCCTTCACAACAGTAGAAGATGATTATCTCTCCCATTGCTATTCTTTATACTCTAGATGGAGTTAGGGAGGTAAGACATAAAATAGAGAAAAGTAGGAGAGAATCTATGTAATCAGCATTAAAGTTAAAGCTAGAGTGCTAGGTTCAGACTATAAGTGCTATATGACTACATAAAGGAAAGCAATGAGGTATGTATGAAGTAGTTGGAGAAGGCTTAGTTGAGGTCAGACTTGTTTGTGGTTTTGAAAGAGGTAGAATTTAGATAAGTAGAAATGATGGAAGATGGCATCCAGGAATGTGTAAAAGTTGAGAACAAGCTTGAGAGTACTGGATTTGAAGCCAAAGAATATGGATTTGAATTCCAGTATTGCCTTACTACCTCTGGCAAAGTCACCACACCTTTGTGGGCCTCATCTGTAAAATGAGGGATTTGGACTAAATAGGCTCTCAGAGATTCCTCATAGAATCCTTTGCCAGTAGCTTTGATAAAAACTTTTTGAGCATAATAGCTTTGGACTAGGCTACAAAGAAGTGGGGGTGAGGGTAAGGTGGTGAGAAGATGCAACTGAATGGGTGGCAAAAGGTACAGAAGAGCAAAAAGAGAGATTCTTGGCTTCAAAATTTTGGACCTCAACTCAGGTCTTTTCCACTCTTTATGGGTTAGGTAGAGTTACAAGGTATGGCTAATAATAACAGCTAACATTTCTATAGCACTGACTGTGCCAGGACTGTGTTAAAGGCTTTACAATTATTAACTCATTTGATCCTCACAAACACCTGGGGAGGTTGATGCTGTTATTATTCATAAAGGGGGATCCTCTTCTGTGTGTTCAAGGAAAGGAGAGGCAAAGTAGGGTGGAAAGAGCCTGGGAGAGGGAACCTTCGGGTGGAGGAAGCTAGCTTCTTTGAGAAGTCTCAGACAAAAAGCAAAAGATTTTTAACATCCTCACTCCCATTCCCTTAGGACCCAACTAGTAGGGTAAATGCTTCCCTGCCCCTTCTTTCATCCTGAAGATAAAACAACATTCGGCCACCAAAGCTGCATGGGTGTATGCAACGCAATCAGTGCCAAAACAGGCTGAAAAGGAAGTACCCAAACCTCGCGTGGCATAAAAGCTCGGTGTTCGTAAATTCGGAGATTGCATAAGCCTTAAATCACAGGCTGGTTGTTCCAGTTCTGAAACATCGCCCTTTTCTTTTTCCTTAAGCCTCATCTGCATAACCCCGCCTCTGCTCAACAGTAATTGGGCACTCGTTTCATCCCTTCCCCCAGCGGGGGCGGGACTCCAAAGTCTGTGCGGGTGGAGGAATAGGGAGGGGAGGTGCGGGAAGGTGAACCGATTAACATAGTTCAGCCATCCTACTCTACTCTTCGAGGCATCGATTGGCTGTGGAACGGCTGACGATTACGAGCCGAGCCCATCGATTGGCTGGGGTAGCTGTCATTCAGTGTGGCGGCCGGCCGCACTTCCGCCTCTGTGTCAGTGGGTCCCAGGACTGAGGGGCGGGGGCTGGGGGGTGGGGAAAGAGAGTCACCGCCGGCATCGGGAGACACCGGGCACAGGTGAGTGCTTCCCTCCCCCTTTCCCTTCAGACCGGAAGGAGACCCTCCCTCCCTCTTCGGTCTCCAAGGAAAGGCCCCCTTAGCAACGGACCTCATTCAGGCCTGGGGATGGGATGGGGAGTGGGAGATCGCCTCGGGGGCTCGAGAGACCTCCCCCGCCCCCGTTAGGCCTCCATCCTGACGGAAGCGGAGGGAGCTCCCTGCGGCTCTGAGGCGGCGGTAGCCCAGTCCCGGCCCGCGGGGCTGGGGGACGCAGAGGCCCCTGCGGCGGCCGCGGCGGCGCAGCGGGAGGCTCCCCCGGCCCAGGCTACCCGGGAAGATGGTCCATCACTCCCCTCTTCCCCTCGCTCTAAACACTAGGGGAGACCTCCCTCCCCGCCCTCCGGGCCGCCCCGTGGTCGGCAGCGCCCGCCCCCAGGGGTGGGGCCTGCGGGCTGTCACAGGCCCTGCTGCGGGGCGCTAGGCCTCATCATCCCCCGGGTGTCTGCAAGAGCAGCTCACCCGGTGGAGAGGCGGTCTGGCGAGCCGCGGGAGGTGCCGTCGTGTCCCCCGTCCTTCCCCGAGGCGACCCACACTCTGAGCCCCGAGAAAACTTAGAGAAAAGTTATCCCCACTCTTTTGGCGGCTTCTGCCTTTCCCCCCATCTCCCCGCGTCTCCAACTCCGACTGGTAATTCCTGGTTTTTGTTGTGCTGCTGCTCACGCCGGAAAGGAGTGGAAGTTTCATCTCTTGTTGATTGAGCATGCGTGAAAATGGGGAAGGTATAGGCGGGGCTTTTAAATAGGTCTGTGGATCTGGAGGTGGGGGGCTGCGCTGCGTAAGCGGCAGGTGTGTGCGGTTGATCTTCCCTAACCAACCTACGACCTACTTTTGTGTCTTAACATTTATTCTTCAACTGCTCAGGTAGGTAGCTGCTTATTTCCATTGGGAATATTACTTCCCTGTTGTCAACGGAATTTCACCTTTCCCCATACAATTGGTATTCTTGGGTTTTCTATTTCGTACTCTTGAGTACTGTGAAGATTAGTTGATGTTATTATACAAGTGCTTTGAAGGTCACCTAATCATTGACTGTTTAAATGAGAAAAGCTGTGTATTTCCACATAAACGTTTATATTTCGTCTTCAGTCGATAGACATTTTAATTTCTTTTGGATAACAGTTATAATACACCAGATTTGCCTCTGAAATGCATTCCTAACAAATACGTTCAGTGACAGTAATTGAAAAAATTATTTCTTTCAGAACTTCCCTTCCTTACAATATTTACTTTTTGCACAAGGATGAGATATGGGCCATTTTACATTTACATTTCTTCTATGAAAGGCTGACCTCTTGTTCCTCACAAGCATAAACCAATAGAGAAAAGAGCTTTTTCTATTTTGAAGTAAGGTTAAGGGAAATTGTGCCGTTTATACTCTGTTTATTTAACTCAACCATGAAGTCACTTTTCGAATTCTTCCTAAGGAGATAAGGAGAAGGGGAAAAATTTGTTTTAAATCGTGATTATCTTTAGCTTTTTTGCCTCTCCATTTCAGTTGTCTTAAGAATTTTGAAATGTTGAAGAGTGGCTAATCTAATTTCGGGAAGAATGTTCAAACCTCCCCACTTAAATTTCAGTCCTCAGGAATAAGAGTATACTTATTATATTTATAGAATTTAGGAAAGGGCAGTTAAATTAATTAACAAAAAATTTTATAGTGATTTTCATCATTTAATCAAGGAGATTAAAAAGGTAATTTTCACAAGACATACCAATCAAGAAGGACTTGTTAAATGCCTGCTATGTGCCAGGTAAAACATGTCCTCAATGCTGATTACAAAGAAAAAAATTAAACAGTCCCCTTCCTCAAGGAGCTTACATTTTTTTCAAGGGAAGCACTATATATCCATGTAAGTAAATACAACATATCTATAATATGTAGGTACAAGGTAATGGAGAGGGGTACCCCACCCACCTCCACTCTTAGGAGGTGACTTTTGAGCTGATCTTTAAAGGAAGCTAGAGATTGTAAGAGGATGAAGTAAGGAAGGAGTGCATTCCAGGCTTGAGTTAAATGCTCAGAGATGGAATGTGGTGTATGAGTAAATAAACCCTGTTTGTCTGGAATGTACAGTATGTGTGGAGAAATTATGTGTAAGTATTAGAAAGGTAGGCTAGAGCCAAATTGTGAAGAACTTTAAATGACAAATAGAGAAATTTGCGTTTTATCTTAGAGCCAGACATGTGCTTTAGAATATCACATTGGCTACTGTATAGAGGCTGGATTGGAGGGGAGAGACTGACAAGGGAAGACCAATTTAATAGTTCAAATGAGAGGTTATTAAAGCTTAAGCTCTGGTGATGGTCTTGTTAAGAGAGAGGAGAGGGATGTGAGAGATAGAATCAACAATGTTTGGCGATTGGTTGGATATAGTGGAGTAAGGGGGAGTGAAGATAATAATAATAGCTAAGATTTTTATAGAATTTTAAGGTTTGCAAAGTGCTGTACATATCTTACCTCATTTGATCTAGGATGACTCAGAGGTTGGGAACCTGAAGTGACTGGAAGTTTGGTAGTGCCCTTGACAGAAATAGAGAAGCTAAGAGTCGATGAGTGGGTAAAAAAATGTTAATTTCATAGGAAACCAAGATTATATTTTCTGGTTAACATTCAAAATGAACACTGTACTGGGAACCAAGAGATTTGGGAAATCATTTCACTTTTGAATTTGTTACACATCTATAACGTTAGATTAATAATATAAAGAAAGCAAATTTAGATTAACATATGAAAGCTTTTTGAGGACAGAAGTAGTATAATAAATTTAATGTTGTTATCACTTTCCTTGAATGTTCGTAATTTATGATACATACATCCCTCCTTAATTGGAGAGCCACTGCAATGTCATAAGCAAAGTTTCTGAACTTTGAGACCTAGGCTTGATTTCTGCCCTTGATACTTAGCTGTGTGACTGTGGAAAGTCTCTTAACTTCTCTGAGTCTTAGTTTCCCTACCTGTGAACTTGGGATAATACTTGTAGCACCTAGTTTGCGTGAATTGTTATGAAGATCAAATAAGATCATAAGTTTAAGGTATTTTCAAGCTATGTAAATGCCATCTAGTAGTACTATAAACTGAAACTTCCTTTTATATCCTGTCATTATAACTTGAGAAAAAAGTTTCCCTTTCAAAATTTATTTTTTAGAAATTTAGATATTGAATCATAGAACTGAGCACTATTTCATTGTGAAAATAATTTTCTTTCTAAAATAAGTAACTAGTTATTTTCTTTTTTTTTAGCTTCAGTGGCTTTGTTTGTTAACACAAGTTTTGTTTCTTCTAAAACATGGTAAATACACATATCCTTCTGGATATCTAGGATGTTTGCCCCTCTGAGTAGTTTGTCAGTAGAAATGATTTTAATTTTGTAACTACTGGCCCAGAACCAAAGCTTTGTAACCAGTCACCCAGAGCTGAAGCTTTGGTTTATGTGGACTGGGTTCAGTAGTGGAGGCTTGTCAGTAATAAATTGCACTCAAGGTTTCTTTCCTTGTGAACATTATAGTTTAGCTGGTGTCTAGTTCATTACAGAAAATGTTAAGGACCTTTAGCTTTCATATAAGAACTCAGGTTAAGAAACCCTTGAAGATAAAACTTTATTTTGCAGGTGGATCCTGTACCTCCCCCCCAAACACAAAGGACTTGAACCTAAGCCCACGCATGTCAAAAGAACTTTTTTCCTTTCCAGTAAGCCTGCATCTCCTCTCCCTCTACCCATTCCCTCCTCCCATGAGGAGTATACAGTTATTCAGATTTATAGTACTACTGTGGAGTTGAGCTTCCCCATCTACCCCAAAAACACCTGCTAGCACTTTTCTCAGACCTGCAAAGGCCACATGATATAGTACCAGTGAAGGGCAAGATCCAGGACTGATTCTTCACATTATGGTTCTGTCCATTGCTGTTCTATAGCTTCTACTTGATCTAACAGCTCAGCTTTGTTCACAGCCTTCACCTTTCACTTGTCCTGTTGCAGTAGTCTTCTACTTCATTTCCCTGCCTCTAGTCTCTCCCTTCTGAGATCATCCTCCACAGTTCCCAAAATGATCTGAAAACACAACTGGTGTGACCAAGCCACTTCCTTGCCCAATTAATTTCAGTGGCTTCGTGTTGCCTCTAGAATAAAATACAAACTTTTGAACTTGACCTGGTCTGCCTTTCCCACCTTCCAGCCAAGTTGGCTGTTGTTCCCTGATCTCAGTATTCCACCTTTCATTTGAATGACTTGTCCTTCATACTTGGAATACTCTCTGTCCTCAGCTGTATCTTTAGAATTCTTAGCTTCCTTCAAGGGTAACTTAGGTGCCATCTTATTTGGGAAGCCTTTCCTGTTCCCTCTGGTTTTAGTTTTCTTACTTCTTCAAGTTATGTTGTATTAATTCAATGTATCTCTCAAAAAAATTTAAGCACCGTGAGGACAAGGACTATTTTTTCCCTTTTGGCTTTGTATCCCAGTGCTTAGCACAATAAATGATTCACTTGGGTCCAGAATGCTTAGTTTGAGAACATGTCATTATCTAGGAGATTCATTTGTACCTCCAACTTCTGCTTTCTCTGAGCCCTCATGGTATCCATGGAGAAATATCATAAATGATGAGATTTCTGTGTATAACCCTCCCCTAATCCTCCTTCAGCTTTTACTCTCCACCTTTCTAGCTTGTCTTTAAAGGCCAAGCAAATGTATTATCTTCAGCAATGAAATGTTAATTGGGATGACTTGTGAACTTCTTTAGAGATGTGGGGTTAACTCAGTATCATACAGGATGAGGAAAGTTCACATCTTGTCAAAGAGATAGTTTTTGGTGATGAGGCCAGAACAAAAGTCCCATCTATGTTAAGGAGAAGCATTTATTAATCACCCATGTGCCTATTTCAGTGATAGTGACTGGAAATACAAAGATAAAACAAAGCAAAAATAGTCTCTACTTACATGAACTGATACAGTGTGAAGTGAACAGAACCAGGAGAACATTGTACACAGTAACAGCGATGTTGTACAATGAAGAACTGTGAATGATTTAGCTATTCTCAGTAATACAGTAATCCAAGACAATCCCAAAGGGCTCATCATGAAAAATGCTGTCTCCAGAGAAAAGAACTGTTATTGCCTGTATTCAGACTGAAGCATCTCTCTTTTTCTCCTTCCTTCCTGCATGAAATGACTGATATGGAAGTGTTTTTACATGATTGTACATTTATAACCTGTATCAGATTGCCTACTGTCTCAGGGAGGTGGGGATAGAATTTGGAACTCAAAACTTACAAAAAAAGGAGGATGTTAAAAATTGTTTTTACATGTAATTGGGGAAAAAATAAAATTATTTAAAACAAAAAAAGTCTCTATGGAGCTGACAGAATTAACAAAATATTAGCCTTTTCAAGGGAATCTCTCATCTTTAAGGATATGCAAGGGAGATTTATGAGTACTTTACCAGTCCCCTCCTAGGCATAATCTCTACAGTTATGACTCAACACTTAATAAGTGCTGACTATGTACAAAGTGATTTTCCTAAAAGTGCAACTCTGATATCCCTTCTCCCCACTCCTTCCCCCGTGCAATAAACTCTAGTGCCTTTCTCTTACCTCCAGGACTAAATATAAAGTCTTCTATTTAGCCCTTCATGTCCCTTACTCCTTCCTACTTTTCCAGCCTGATTATAATTCACTCCCTCCACAAATTCTGGGCTTCAGTTACACTGGTGCTTGGCACTGTCTCCTGACTCATGCTTGCTTTTGCTTAGTTGATTTCCATATCTAGAATTTGCTCCCTCCTCACTTCTACCTCTTAGCTTCCCTGATGTCCTTCAAGACTTAGCTCAACTCCCATTTTCTGTAGGAAGCCTTTCCTGATCCCCATTGTTGTTAATGCCTTCTTTTTCCGGAGCTTCTTGAGGGCAGGGACAATCATTTCACTTTTCTTTGTATTCTATCCAATTAACTCACTGTTTGGAACATAGCAAGTGCTTAATAAATGCTTATTAAAGTCCATGTTACACAGTACCAGTGGAGTACCACAGTGCCATACCTATACTATTTGTGCATATTAGATGAAGATGAGAGGTAGAGTTGGAAGAGCGGTAGAAATAGGATATACACATTTTGATCAGTAATGATATTATTATGTATTCAGTTTTGAAAGATTTAATAGAGTTAAATATTATTTAGCATATGTCTCTTGTTTGCCTTTGGAAAAAGGGAGAAGTGGGAAGTTACATCATTTATTGATTTTAGCTAATGTTATTCAAATAATAACACTCTTATATAATGCTTGAATGTTTGCAGAGAGCTTTCCTCTCAATAATCCATTCTCCACAATAAAGCCATTCTCCAGTACAAAATTGTCAAAGGTTATGAACAGGAAGTTTTCAGAGAAAGAAATCCAAGCTATCAGTAGCTATATGAAAAAACACTACACATCTTATAACAAAAAAGTAAATTTCTAGTAATAGAAATGTAAAATTTAAAAACTTTTGAGACTCTACCTCATGCCTATCAGTTTGACATACTGACATACAGTTTGGTAGAACCATGAATTGTTTATTATCCTCCAGATCACTAAACTGTGCATAGCCTTTTTTTTGCATTCGGTAGTGAGGTTTTTAATGCCCTAATACATGGTCAGTTTCTGTGTAGGTGCTATGTACCACTGAGGAAAAGGTATATTCCTTTCTATTCTCATTTTTCTCCAGGGGTTTATCATATCTAACTTTTCTAAAATTCTATTCATCTCCTTAACTTCTTTCTTGTTTATTTTTTTTTGTTAGATTTATATAGTTCTAAGAAGGGATCATTGAGGTCCCCTGCTTGTATAGTTTTACTGCTTATGTAACTCATTTAATGTTTCTTTTTAAGAATTTGGGTGCTATAGGATTTGGTGCATATGTTTAGTGTTAATATTACTTTATTGTCTATGGTACCTTTTAGCAAAATATAGTTTCCTTGCTTATCTCTTTTAATTAGATCTGTTTTTGCTTTTGCTTTGTCTGAGATCCATAGCTTTTGACTCATGGATAGGCTTACACCCTAATGATCTTAAGAAAGAAGATAAAGACCTATGTGACAAAAAAGAAAAATCACAGTTGTTGGAAGGACTGTGTGAAGACTAATGTACATTTGGTGGAACCCTGAATTGTTTATTGTCCCCAGAGTGGTGTAACTGTGCATAGCCTTTGACTTGATAATATTACTTCTAGGTTCATACCCTAAAGATATCAGGAAGAAGAAATGGACCTATATGTACAAAAATATAGCAGCACTATTTTCCTTTTTTATTGAGTTTTTTAAAAATTTTAAACTTAATACCCTAAAAAAGGGCATTTCCACATACGTAGTGGAACAGAAAAAGCTTGCACGTGAAACTGTAGATTTGTTATATACAGCTTGCTTTTCTTTTTAAATATATAAGTTCAGCATATAGTTTTCAAAGCTGTTTGACTTGTCTCTAATTCTGCCTTTATTTCTGTCTTATTCCATATATTTAAAAAAATGTGCTTCAGTGACCCCTCTTGTTTCTTTCTCTTTCTCCCTCTGTTCTTCCCTTCCCTCCTCCCCATTCTACCTCTTAAATTGGGGGGGGGAAATAAAAAAAAGCCTATGTAACAAATACGTATAGTCAAAACAAATATGTATAGTCAAAACAAATTCCTTCATTGTCTGAAAAATAAATCTTTTTATTTATGAAAAATATATCTTAATCTGCATCTTGAGTCCATCACTTGTCAGTAGGTAGATAGAATGCTTTATCCTCAATCCTTAGGAATCATCGTTGGTTATTGCATTGATCATAGATTTTTAAGTCTTCCAAGGTTTTCTTTATAGTGTTGGCATTATTGTATAAATTGTTTTTCCAGTTTTGCTTACTTTACTCTGTACGAGTTTATTCAAGTCTTCCTGTTTTTCTCTAAAACCATCCCTTTTGTCATTTTTACAGGGCAGTAATATTCCATTACATTCATATACCATAATTTGTTTAGTCATTTCCCAATTGATGTGCACCTCTTTAGTTTTTGGTTCTTTGTTATAATAAAAAGAGTTTTTGTATAGTAACATCTGTATAAACTGCTGAGGTAGCTTAGATGGCTCAATGGATAGAGCACTGGTCTGGAGTCTGGAAGACCTGAGTCCAAACCTGGCCTAACATTTACTAGCTGTGTGCCCCTGGGCAAGTCATTTAACCTTTTTTTGCCTTGGAGGCATCAAGGTGGCTCAGTGGATAGATTGCTGGATCTGGAATCAAGAAGACCTGAGTTCAAATTCGGCCTCAGAGAGTAGCTGTGTGACCCTGGGCAAGTCACTTAACACCACTCCAGTATCTTTGCCAAGAAAACCCCATAAAGGGTCACAAAGAGTCAGATATCACTGAATGACTGAACAACACTATGAACTAATAAAGAGTTGAATGAGCAGAATCAAGAGAATGATTTTATACAATGACTATAATATTGTAAGGAAAAACAACTTAATTGACTTAAGAACCCTGATAGGTGCAATAACCAGACATGACTCTTAGGTGTGAGGAAGAAATATTTCTGACAGAACGGTAATGATTTTGAGATGTAGAATGGTACATTTTCAGAGATAAGCGATGTAAGGATTTGTTTTGCTCAACCATTCTTATTTGTTACATGGAAGAGTTTGTTTTTAATTAGGAGGAAGTTTGGGAGTTATAGGGTGGTTGGCATAATGATACCAAAAAAAGAAGAAATGAAGGAAAAGAGGATTATTGAAGCCTTTTTTTTTAAAAAAAAATATAAAAAAGTAAACAGGAGAAAATTCAGAGGAAGACAGACAAGCAAGATAGCTTTGAAAGCAATGTTTTGAATTTATTCCATACTTTTAAAAAAGAAAGCCATACATAATAGAGATGTGTTGTGTTCCTTTTATATGGAAATGTTCATATTTATTGGTGTTTGTTAAATTCAGTGTAGCACACCATCTGGAGCTGCTCAACTAACCTCCGGTCTCACTGAAAAACTGTGTCCCTAGGTGACTGCTACTTCTCCTCTCAGAATCCCCTAGACTGGAAGTTTCTAGGGGGATAGGTGAGTGTCTTTTTAATGCTATAGGTCATGAGCTTTTACTGGATTGCTTCTCCCATTGATTATCAGTTGATAACAATTAGTTAGCCGGATTCAGTTAGCTTTTAGAAATAAGTATTTACTAAAAATGGAATAGTATGAAGAATTAATATAAAACATTTCCCCAAACTGTCCCACTGGGCACTGTCCCACAAATATATAAAGAATCCAAGGGAACATGGCTCAAACTTAGAACACATATGGCAAAGGGGCTAACATAGCTGCTGGAATTACTTTTGTTGGAAATATTTTTCTCTGTGGGACATCCATGAAGTTCTCCTAAGGGATGGTCTAGTTTTCCTCAGGGTTCCTTGTAGAATCTTGAACCTGAGTTTTTCCAGTGTGTCTATCTTATCCTTAATGCCTAGCTATTCTAGGGACGCTGCTAGGACATGAATAGACAGTCTAAAACCTAGGCCTTTCAAAGTTTGTTGTCATGCTCTATTCAAGGAGTAGGATTGAGGGAGAAGAGACACAGGCTCTGGTCTTCCTATCTTGTGATTCCTTCTCTTCCCTCATACCAAGTGATTTACTTTCAGGGGCTAGACTGGAACTATTCTCTCTTCTGATGGGCCAGACACCTGAATGCAGGGGTGCAAACTGAATTACTATGTCATAAGCATAACAGGGCATACAGTAGTTCAATGCCTCAGATTCAATAGAAATATTTTCACCTACAAAAGATAACAGAGATGGAATATTTTACTACTTTAAGTGGGATGGAGTGATTGACTCAGTTGATCCTTGCATAGCAATAAGAAAAAAAAAGGTTTTAAATAACCTTGTGAAATAAGTAGTATGAGTATTGTTTTCCCTGCATTTCAGATGATGAATTTGAGTCTTTCAGAAGTGATGATTTGCCTATGGTCAGACAGTAAACTTTTGATATGGGACTTAATCTCAAGTTCTTTGATTCCAAGACTCTTTACCTCATGCCAGTTAGGTAAAACAGTGTGGTGTAGTGGAAAAAAAATACTAGATTTGGAAATAAGAGGACTAGGGTTCCAATTCTGTAGGTCAGCTACTTGTCATGAAACCTTGGGAAAAAACACTCAGTTTTTTCCTCTGTAAATGAAGGGATTGAAACACACCAGGGATTCTTAACCTGGTGGAACTTGTTTCAATATAATTGGTTTCCTTTATAATCCTATGTATTTTATCTTATGTATTTAAAAACATTATACTGAGAAAGGGTCCATAGGCTTTTCCAAATTGTCAGAGGGGTTCATGACACAAAAAAGGTTAAGAACTTCTGGACTAGATCTCTGAAGTTACTTCCAGATCTAAAATGTTATGATTCTGTGAAGGTAGTATTTAAAGACTGATTTTATTTAACAATTTAGTGAGTATTATAGTTTAAAAAGTTTTCCGAGGCAGGGATATATCTTCTTGTCTCTTATCCTTGTGCCCAGGCAGAAAACTTACCAGCTCAATTCCACGAGTACTTATTGAATATATACTATATATAAAGCACCAAGTCGCAGATACTTTTTTTTTAAAGGCTATAATCTCCTTTATTCCAAAAATAAATATTTTACCTTTGACTTGATATATTTCAAATCATGTGAAGCACAGAGAAGTACAGTCCTTTTGGAAGTGGTGAAGCACATCTATGAAAGAGCATAGTTCTATGCTCTAGATGACAGCTTTCCACGAAAGCTGATTCGTACAGATTTATGGCAGGGCAGAGTTCTCCTTTCTCTAGGTGGAGCTACATATACATTAGTTTTAGAAAGAAACACCCCCTTTTTTTTTTAAGTCTGAAAGGCACATGAAGTGGACCATAAGGTGTATGGCACATTCACTGATAATACATTTCCTATTACATTCCAAGAGAACTGAGAATCTTTAATCAAGCTCAAGGCCAGAGGACATAGGGAGCTTCAGGCTCAGTAGCATTAAAGTCTCTGGAATTAGAAGCAGGTTTTTTTTCTTTTTTGGCTTTTGTTTTCTGCCTCCTTTTTTCTGTCCTGATCTGGTCCCTTCCAGTCCTGAATTAAGGTGAGGTGTGGCTCTCTCAGTGGTAGCAGGGCATGTGGCCACTTGGACACCATGATCAGGACCACAGCCAGCGCAGGCAGCACAAAGGTGGTGAGCTGCTGCCTGGCCTCCTGCATGGCTTGCTTCTACTCCTTGCCTTTTGAAATCTCCTTCTTGGGTTTCCCTTTGAGCTGCCTCATCCTTACCAGGATGACCCTGGGAAAGCTTTCCCAGAAGTGGGTGTTAAGAACAGTGTCTTGTTCCTCCTGTTTCGGACTTGCTGCTTTCTGAGTGAAGACCAGTAATCCCGGCTACCAAGGAGGCTGAGGATGGAGGATCTCTTGAGCTCTGGAGTTCTGAATGGGAAGCCACCAGGTTGCCAGCCAGAAAACCCAGGAGATTCCAGGCAGACCAGAGCTCCTCTCTGGCCCACTAACCTCAGCTTCCTCCCTCTCTGCCAAGGCTGGGAGGAATATGTGGCAAGAGCTGCTGGTGCTTTCCTCTCCCCAGCCCTCGCAGGCTGGACATGGGAAACTCCAATACTTGTTAAAAGATGATTTATTACCAAACTTTGTGTTGTATTCCACAGAATTTTTTTATTATATAAAGAAAAATCATTTAGAATTAACCCAATATAAACATCAAATGCCGAGCTAGACAGGACCTCAGTGGTAGGATCCAAGTTGAGGAAACCAAGGCCAGAGAGATTAAGTAATTGTCCAGGTAGTTAGTGGAAGAGATAAATTTAAACTCAGGTTCCCAGACTCTGTATCCTGTAGTCTTTCCAATGTATGATGATGCAAAACTTAACATTTCTTTGAAAATTACCCCTTAAATAGTGGTAAAAAAAAATCTAATTAGTTTTTTTCGATAACCAACTGAATCTGTGTATTCCTGTATAAATTGAAACAATTCAACCATAAATTTCATAAACAGCTATATACTATAAATTAATAAATAAATAAATAAATAAATATATAAATATAAATAAATAAGTATTCAAAAATGTACATAGTAATTCACCTTCTAAGGTATGAAAAATATGAGCATTTAAGTGTGAAAGCTAGTTTCTTAGAAACTAATGTTTTGAAATTTCATTATAAGGCCGCTGATAAAGAATTAATTTGGTTACCTAACAAGGAAATACATTCTTTTGGGGATGTCAAATAAATCTGAGCTTCTTTCACTGGGAAAATTTGGATAAAGGGAAGCTGGAGAACAATTAACACTGAAGAATTTTTTCCTTTTTTTTTTTTTTCTTTTTAGGCAGTTGGGATTAAGTGACTTGACCAGGGTCACACAGCTAGTAAGTATTTGTTCCGAGGCTGGATTTGAACTCAGGTCCTCTTGACTTCAGGTCTGGTGCTCTATCCACTCACTGAAGAATATCTTAAGAATTACAGGAAGAGCTACAGGAAACTTGGAGAACAGCTAGTCCAACCCGTTCATTTTGCAGATGAGAATGATAGTTCAGTCAGTGTTAAACAGAATTTAATTTGAACTTTGAAGTATTTGTTTCTCTATATTTTCCCTTGCAACTGTGTGGTGAAATTGCCTGGGCAAACAATATACTTACCATTAGGTAAATAGAATATTATCTGCTTCTCATGGTAGAAATTAAAGTACAGTTTGGTGGAATTAGCAGATAAGAAGTATTTTTTTACATCTTAGTCTTTGACTTGATTTCCAGAAACCCCTTGCAGTATGCTATATTTCTGATACGTTAACAAATTCTCTTGTCACTTTTTCCATTGGAAAGTCATCTATCATAATATTGTAGATCTGAAATGTACAGTTCAGATGAATAGGATCCTATTTTTATTTAAGCGGTATATTTTTGACTTTGCATTTAAAGCTTTGGGTGTAGAAAACTGTTATCTACGGTTTAGGACTGATGTTTGGGCTTTCAAATCTGTAATTTGGAGCATTTCTTCTTACTTTGAAGGTAGTGTCTTTGGGACTAAACTCTGGAATGAAAACGATGAAGGAGTTGATGCTAGGACAAGAAATTTTGAAGTTGAGCCTGAGAACTATCTTTCCTATAAGTATTAAGTTTGACTCCTGCCTCATTGCTGTGTGGAGCACAACACTGAGATGAGTTTAGAAACATTTTTTTTAAAAGCCCGTTTTAGAAACAACAAAGTTGAGAAGTTTGTGTTCTATTCCAAACAAGCAGAAACAACTTAAATTATGGCTATTAAAATTCAAGGGCGTACTTTAAAAAAAAAAGGATTGAAAAAAATATAAGCTCTTTGAGGGCAGAGATATGGATTTTTAGTTAAGTTGAATGTTCTATGTATTTGGCGATTAAATTTATTTTGTTTTGGCTTGTGAGACTTTTTAAAAAAAATTATTACACAGCGTATCTTAGCAATACAATGATTTAAAAATACAAATTATGTCTCTTTAAATCCTGTGCATTTAATACATTTTTTTCAGTAAGTACTCTCTATTCATTCCCAATTAGCAGTCCCATCCCATTAAGACAGGATTAAAATACTTTTTAGTGCACACACACACGCACACACACACACACACACACACCCCAGATGTTGGATGCAGTGTTTTTTCACTATTCCTCACTAACATTGTGGTTTAGTGGCTGAGTTCTAATTCAGAGCAATATCACTACCCAGTAAAAAATTATATTGAAATAAATGTATAGTATCATAGTATATAATTTTTCTTTTAAGAAAATTAATCTGGCCCACTCACTACCTCACACCCTTGCTGAACAAATTTTAAAAAATAAACAGCTTGAAAAATTAAGCCCTCAATATGTAGCTGCATAGTCAGCGAAACTAATTCCTTTACTGGCCATGTCTGAAAATATTCCTCTTTGCATTTCAAGTTCATCACCTCTCTGTCAAGGGATGTGGTATGTTTTATCTTCATTCTTTTGGATTCATGGTTTTTATCATTATGTTATTCAGGGCTCTAAAGTATTTCAAAGCTGTTTTTATATCACGTTATAGAGATTTTCCCAATTTACTCTGAAACCATCCATTTCCTCATTTCTGTAATTCATCTTAATAAATAATTCTTATCACTGCTATGTACAAGACTGTCAAGTGCTTAGGATGTATGTGTGTGCATGTGTATACATATACATTTGTATTTGTACATATATTATACATATATGTATATACACACATGGATAAATATCCTACATATCTGTATGTGTATGTCATATGCATGTAACTGAGGACTTTACAAAGCTAATGTTTACTTCAAAGAGTATAAAGAGTATAATCAAATAGACAAACCCCCAACACATGGGAGGCAGAATTCTCTCTCTCTCTCTCTCTCTCTCTCTCTCTCTCTCTCTCTCTCTCTCTCTCTCTCTCTCTCTCTCTTTAGGCATTTGGGGTTAAGTGACTTGCCCAGGGTCACAAAGCTAGTAAGTGTCAACTGTTTGGTCTGAGGCTGGACTTCAGGGCTGGTACTCTATCCACTGTGCCACCTAGCTGATATAATGCTCCACCTTCTCCTGCACCACCTCAGTTTCTGTGGAGGGGAAGGTGATTAGATTAATAGTTTCACTAGGTTTCCATAGAGCACAGCCCCAAGTCCAAAACTCCCTTGGGTAATGAGTCAGGCACTCTGGCTTCTTAGAGCTTCCACACTAACCTGGCTAGTGGTGCCATCCTGACTACAATCTTGGCTCCAAGCTCCATGGCTCAGACTCCCAGTCTGTGTAGCTCTACTCCATCACCTGAAACAGAGGAGGACATACAACCCAGCACAGGACCAAACATCCCAGGCCCATTTCTTGGAGCCAGAGTAAAAGAAGTAGAGAAGGGGAAGTTCTTCCCCTCTACATTTGGTGATAAGGTCATTAGTAACCATAGAAAGTCATTACAAAAGGATTATAGGGATAAAAACCTGATTTCTAGGGGTTGAAGAATTAGTAGTGAGGAGGTGGAAGCAGGAAATGTATAATGATTTTTCTAGAATTAACAAACAAGCATATATTAAACATCCTATATATACTAGGTACTGTGATAGATTCTAGGGATACAAAGATGATAAAATGAACAATCTGCTCTGGCGGATCTTACATTCTGTTAGAGGAGACAACATGTACATATATAAGTAAATACAGAACAAATGCAAGGTTAGTTAAATACAGGGTGTAAAGAGTTTGACAGTGAAAAGATGCCATGAGAGAAACTGATAGCTTGAGGAGGTAGCAAGGTCAAAGAGGCTTTATTTATTTATTTTTTATGGGACACCTGAGTGTATTTGTATGTGGAGAGGAAGGACACAGTAGAGACACAAAGATTGAAAATGCACACATCAGGAGAACATGAATTTTTTGGACTCTTTGTTTCTAAAATATATCATCATCCACATCTGAATTACCTCATTTCATTTAATTTTTAGAGTCTTTTATTGATTATTGGTTTTATTTTCAATTTTTTCAGGATTTAAGTGTTATTTTTTTTTTTAAAGACTTAAGCCAAAGCACTTTGAGGTATGGAAATGTTGGCTATTATTTTTCTTTCCATCCAATGTACAATGTATATAAATTAATTTTTTTAAATTATTGACCATGGAAACATATGAATCTTTGGAGTTACGTATTTCTGGTTGGTTTTATCTGGACATCACAGAAACAGTTTCCTTGTCTGATTGTTAATTCTGCATCTCTGCTAAGTTATTACCTTTGCAGAATTTTTGCATAATTGGTGTTGTGAAACTGCTGTGTCATGGTAGCTCTTATGAGGCATATTTGGCAGCCTAATTTAAGTTCAATACATAGCTTAGAAATTTAATGTAGATCACCTGACTATATTTGTGGTCCTTTTAAATGCACATTTAATAATGATAATTTAGAATGAATGCTTCATTAAAAGTGATTCACTTATGTGAGTATTAATCATTGTAATGATGTTGGTATCAGGGCCCTGCCCCAGTTCAGACACTTAGGACTCTGAAAAAAAATTATAGTGTCAATACACTTTGAATAAGAATTTATAATAATGTAAATGTAGCTGCCACTGATTCAAACAGAGCAACATGAATAAGTCAATAAAACCAATAGAAAAAAGTCTATTTTTGCTTTTTGACTTTAAAAGCAAGCAGAGATAATTCTCACTTTAGAAAAATTTTATTTTTTTTCCTTGGATCAAGTCAGAGTACCATGCCTGGCATATTGTAAGTGCTTAAAAAATGTTTGTTGGGGGCAGCGAGGTGGTGCAGTGGAGAGAGCGCCAGCCCAGAAGTCAGGAGGACCTGAGTTCAAATCTGGCCTCTGAACAAACACTTGGCACTTATTAGCCGTGTGACCGTGGGCAAGTCACTTAACCCCAGTTGCCTAAAAAACAAAAACAAGTTTGTTGAATGAGAGCTAATAATCTAATGATCCTGAATGATCTCTAATGATTCTCTAAATTTGAGCTTAGCCCACCTCTATATGTGGACCCTAATGAATAAACAAATATAGGCCCAAGTAGCAAATAAATACTTAATATGTCTTTGTTAGAGTACCCAAGAGTGTCTTATAAGGATCCAAAAAGTAAAAGCAGGTTAGCTACATTTGTGACAATAGGCAAGTCACTTCACCTCTCTGAGACTCTGTGAAATTACTCATTTTGACTGTCATATCTAAGGTCTCTTCTAGCTCTAAATCTATGATCCTATAAGCCTAAGTGAAATTTTTTCTAGGCTTAAAACTAAAAGGAACTAGAAGCCCTTTTCTGTTTAAATACTAAAAATTGTTAGTTTATAGATTCAGGTTCATGTTGATTTAGTCTGGAGATTCATTCAATTTCCAGTTATATTCTTGGAATAAGTATAGCATAAGCAACATTTATTTTATATATATATATATTATATATATATATATATATATATATACATATATATATATACACATATATATATACACACACACATATATATGTATATATAGTTATATTTCTTCTGAGCAGCATTAAACATAGGAAATATTACATCATGCATATGATATTACCAAATTAAAAAGGAAATTGGATAGTGGTTTAGATGTAAGAAAGGAAAAGAAGCCAAGGAATGATCAGGAAAGGATTAGGGTTTTGTAGTAAGCATCAAAATCAAACAGAACCTAAGTCTTTGGAGGAAACTGTACTCTTAGGAGTGCTAATGATGGTTTTTTTGGATGTTGTGCTTGTTGGCAGACCATTGTCCCACTGTTGTACAGGTAACATTTTCAGAATAGAATATATGCTTTTAAAGTGCTGGGGGATTCTAACATCACAGCCTTTTTTTTTAATTAAACGATTTATTAAATTTTAGTTTTGAACATTCACTTTCATAAGATTT